GACCAAAGCTCCCAGCAAGGAGCCTTCCCAGTACACTCTGAGGTTGTACCATGGCAGTGGTGGTGAAGCCTGCAAGGGTTGATAGAAGCCATGGCCATGTTTTCCGTCCATGATTTCAGCGCATGTGTCGACGTACTCAAGCTGGCTCCAGCCATTAGCGTCTCAGAAGTTATAAACCACAATGGAAGGACAAAACCTCGGCTAGGCGGCCTGGACATTTGGCAGCATTTCTGGCTGAGGTCTTCTGGGAACACCTTGGCTACCCAAAGGCTTTCAGCGTTTGAACACAAGCCAAAAGCCTATTCAGTGATGGATTTGCTTGTAATGCCCACAAAAAATATGCTCGCTGATTGTTTACAAATTATGTAGCTGAAGTGTTCCCAGAACACCTCGGCTAGACAGGCTGCCAGAGCCGCAGGCTGCCTAGCTGAGGTTTTGGACTTACGGCGCTGACGAAACTCTAAACCTAATAGAACAACCTTGGGAACACTGAAGCGCAGAACAAAGCTCACAAACGGAGAGCATAACAATGGCTTTGATCAAGCCTTGCAACGCTAACCTCCGCTGCCATTGCTCCACCCGGTCAAATTGCGCTGAGTGATAGGAGCGGGTTCCAGGATGTGGCGAATGGTTAGAGGCAGTACTTGATATGATGCAACTGGGACTTGTGGGGTCGCTCGGCTTTTTTACGCGTGCTGCTAGGAGTGAACGCCCGAGGTCAAAAATGTAGGCGTGCCCAAAGTCCTTGAGGAAAAACAGTCAAACGCTAAGTCTGCCAGCTCCGTTGAAAGAACTAGCTGGTGAAAGAACTAAGTTACACGTAAGCTTCTTTCTAGTAACAAACTAAAAAATAAACTTTGTTTGGCAAATCCACTCCTTCGGAAGTGAAGTGACCTAAGTGAGGTGACCCTAGCCAGTCTTTACTCCACTCCAACGGAAGTTGCTATGGGTGGGCGCATCGGATGTTGGGTAGAACAAACACTGCGCTGCTGGAATCGAATCACAGAGGGTTCTAAGTAATTAGTTCCACTGCGATTTTATGATGCGATACCTTTACAACGGGCTCCAATGCGTGTTGCTTCGCTGGTTTCCCACAGGCGGTCAGGTTTCTCAACCAGTGCTGCTCCAGCAAGAAAGAATGAGAAAGGCACAGAACCTATTCTGGGCACGGCATCGCTTGACAGGCTTAGTCTTCATGGCCTGGTTCCTTGTCCCAGGTCAGGGAGAATTAATGGTATGAGTTGTCAAATCCTCGCCGGCTTCACCGTTGCAACCCTGACCCGATGCTGTCTCACTCTCTCTCTCTCTCTCTCCGGGCCCGAGGCCCGGGACAAACAAAAACTTCTAGACTGCTCAAGGGAAACCCACCAACGAAGGCAGCACCCAAGAAGCTATGTTCTGCCGGAAATTGTCAGGGATGTGAAGACATGGAGTGAGTATTTTCAATGGCAAAGGGAATCTGACAATAAAGCTAAACAGCATGCCTGTACATATCCAAGCCCAATACAGCAAATCTGTGCTTGTTGCCTTCACCAAATGGCACCTGTGCCTTTGTGTTGTGAATCAATGCTAGTCCTGCTAACCCGGGCGAGCCGCGAGCCAAAAGGCAACGATAATTCCCCAAGTATTTGCGAGCTACTATCCAGTAACAGCAGCTCAAGAAGCTCCCAAAATTCCACGCGGGTTGATCGAGGGATCCACAACCAAACAGTGACTGCCGATCACCGAGAATCTAGAATCTCATCCGCCGCGATCTCCTGGCATTCGAGCGCGTGCAGCTGCGCTGCGACGGTGCGAAGCTCGCAATGGCTGCAATCATCCACGTTTGGTAAGGTGTCCCGATTCATGCCCAAACAAGATATCAGGTTGCAGGAAGCACCAAACGAGAAGCAAGGAGCGGTACATGGTCGCTCCAAACGGGTTCTTCTTCACTGATAGGTTGGCACAAGGAACAAGGAACATGGCCAAAGCGGGTGGCGTCTTGCTGTTCCGGTCACGCACTGATTGATCCCAACACCGCCATGGCCAGGACGTCACGGTGATCAGCCCGCCCTTTCAATGGAAGGACCCCGTGTTAAACAAAAAAAAAGATGAGGGAGGTCATCTATTTTGTGGAAGACAGTGCATAGCTACTTACGGGTTGCGAAGGACACGGTTGTGCACAAATACTTGTCCATGCATTTGCGTGGGAAACAATCACCTGTTGGGGATAAATGTACTCTTTGCGCGCCCCAATAATGAATAATCAGCACATTTTCAGGGCAACCGCTTCCGAGTAGTCGGAAGACCGACATTGAACCCCAAAGGGACATGCCTCTATTTATACGCATATCTACATATTATTATATGGGACCAATTCTCTCTTGTCGCCCAACTGGAGATTCCATGTTGCCGTGCAAAGAAAACAAGCCGCTAGCCAACCATTTGTAAGAGTCCTATTTTCTGACACAGTCACGGCCCATGTTGGGCTTTTTCAGCCATCTCGTCCCTTCCAATGGTCCTGGACTTTCGTCTTGACGGTGGTTGCCTCGGCAAGTCTTCTTTCAGACTTCGACTTCGAGTGGCGGGTCCTCCGAAACTGGTTGGTTTCTTTCGGGTTCCTTACCCCTTCCCCCCGTTCCCCTCCCCCAGCCTCCCACATCTCCAAGTCTGAAATTGAGTCCGATTTGTTGCTTGATTCTTGTTTGCTTTTTGTTGGTTCTTTTGTTTTTCGTTGATTCCTTTTTGTTGTTTTCGAGTCAGGTTGATTGAGTTGTTTTTTGTTTGAGTCCGAAATCATTTTTGTTGAGTCCTGTTGTTTGCGTTTGTTTTCTGTTGAGTCTAGTTTTGAGTCTGTGTTTGCTTTTTGTTGCGGGGTGTTGAATGCTCCATTCAAGTTCACTTTCTCTGGCGAAGCCGTTCTCTCAATGCTTCTCTGTCTTGGAATATCGCGAGAGTTCCTCAGCGCACGCCTTCCTCACGTTGGGGTGGCAAAAAGGTTGATGAATGTTGCTCTGCAGGGCTGCCGGAAATGAAATCCACTTCTGTGATGCAAAAGAAAAGGCTTCCCAAAGACTAACCCATATGAAAGGGGAAGATATTCTCTTGTGCAGTGGGGATGAACCCCGGTTGATCCCACCCTGATCCGAACCAATGAGGAAATCCTAACCCATGATCCTGATAAACCATCCCTTGTGGTTTTCCTTCTGTTTCCTTTAAGGGGATCCCTTGTGATGTGGCGTTGCCATTTTTCATTTCCCCTGCCTGAATCCTCCCTCGCTGTGCGGGATCTGAGGATTGAGGCTCCGGCAGTCTCTTTCAAACATCTGCACCGCTCAGTTGGCTCCGGCTCCTCAAGGCACCGCACCACAAAACACCATCGATATACCCCGGTAGATTGGATTCTCCACCTCCCTGGGCGACAATGGACTTCCTGTGCGCGGTTTCTTGGGGAGATCTGGGGAGTGGTCCGTTCCCGGTTGCAGTGCTGACATGAGACCGCAAAAGAAAACAACTCACAAGTCGTCTTTTCTTTCCCAGGCAATCCAAACATCGACGCCATAACCTTTTTCATTGACCCAAGACTAAACCAAGGCTTAGGCTTCAGGGAATATCTGCAAACTCCTAAGGCGCGGCCACTCAATTGGAAGAAAGGGCTCCCGAACCCGGCAACCCATTACCCCCGAACCCAGAGGGCTCCTGGTAGATAGATGTCTGTCTCCCCACCAAAAAAACAAAACATCCAAACGGATCCTTCTATACGCCCTAATTGGGATGTGAATCTGCGGCAACGTTCAGGAGCACAAACACAATTCCATTCTTAAATGCTGACAAACGGGTTTGTCTCAACAAGAGGACCCCCCCGAGCAAAATTATAAGGCGTCCCTTTAAACCCACTACATGAGGCAACAACAAAAACACGCCACGCTCGCACCGCAGCAGGCCTCCTCCTCGTCGTCAAATCCGGGGCCCGCCAGCGTGTCGTCCGCCATGGCCTCAGTCAGCTCTACATTCCTTGGGGTGCGTCATATTGGCTCATTTCCCAACGAGTGGATTGGCAAAAAACAAGTCTGAACTTTTTGTTTTCCACCTTGATGAGCTTCCCAAAAAGTTTAAAGTCCAGGAACTCAGGAAGTGCGTTGCTGGTTTGGTTTGGACATTGTAAACACCTTGCCAAAGAACAATGTCCACTTTTTTTGACATTGAATTGGATGGATTGATTTCCACTTCCGGGCACCAGCTTGTCAAGTGGTTGAACTGTCAGTATCTCCCAGTATGAGTTGGCTCAAGAGTTCAATATCCACAACACAAAAAGCTTCAAAAGCAATGCACCTTGCACAATGCAAGGCATGCCGATTCTCTTTACACCTGTGAAACCTGCTGATCGCAACAGAACAACCTTCCATTTCGGTGCCGCACAGCACAAGCTTGCATTGAGAACCGGAATGAGTGTACACCAGGGTGAAAGTAGATGGCACAATTCCCTTTATGTGGCTGTGGGTCAAAAATAGGCACCCAAAATGAAACCCTGGTAAGTGGACACATGGACCAAAACCTGCGGTCCCCTGGTGGTTTAATTTTGACCCACAGCCATGTGGTGGGGGAATTGTGCCAACTGCTTTCACCCAACATCGGAAGCAAGGCCGAGCTGCGTGGTTTGCGCGCAGATCTCAGCTGAATGTGGGTGGACTTGCAATGTTTTAAGACAGTGGTCTGACTAACGAACAATTCGCCCGAACGGAGTTGTTTTCATGCTTCACAGCTCGAGTTCGAGGCTTGAGCCAAGCTCGGAGAAGCCAGTTGCTACATGCGTGGCTCGTCTTTGTTTTGAGGGTACCCCCTTTTTTGTGGTGTCAAAGGGAAACGAAAAGAAAATCCGCCCATTGTTGGGCCCACATCATTGCTCCCAAAACAACATTTGATGCCTAGGGACCCTCAAGCACCCTGGTGCGAGGAGAGCCGTGTGTGACTGTCTAGGCCCTCAACTGGTCGGTGCTCAAAGCGCGCGCATTCTCCTAATCCTGCCTCCAGAAGGCTGCTCAACCTGTCTCAATGGCACCAAACTGCCAAGGCACCGAGTAACCCGTAGAGTTTCATTGATGCTTCCACGCAAACACAAACAGCATTTAATAAAACTTGGGTTGCTCTTCGTACAGTACACACCCATGAGCCAAGGCAAACAAGAAGAAGGAGACTCGAAAGATCAGCAAAGCCTAGTGGCCAACCTGAAATTGGCTGCTGATGTTGATCGCGGAAACGCACATTTTAAATCAGTGTTCCCTCCCAGAAAGGGGAACCCTTTTGAGATGGTTTGAAAGAGAAATCAAGCCAATTTCAGGAAACCCACCTACCCCAAAGACTTTCCTGATTCGCTTAGCGCAAGCCACCCCTACTTCCTGGAAAGTGGGAGTGGCCCGCACATCGCCCTACATGTCCCCTTGTGATTCTCTGAGGCTGCCTGGCTCTTGGGCAATGCGAAAGCTGGAGAGCAAGTTTGCTGCATGCCAAACACGGAGGCCCAAGGCACAGCCCGCCCAACCAAAACCACTCTGCGTCTGCGCGCCTCTCGGTGCAAAGCCTCCCAAGGACGTCTTAAGCCCCGAATCGGTCGCCATAAAACTTGCTGGGGCGATAGGCAGGGAATGAGAAATGGAATGACCCCCAGAAACCATCCCTTGTGGTTTCCTTTTGAAGGAATCCCCAACTTCATCCCCTCATTCCCTGAGCACCAGCGAGAAAATTTGGCAGATGGATGGGGGTCCTAAGTCAAGGACCTGCGTCATGGTGAGCTCGTAGTCCCGAATAGGTGAGCTCACTGAGACAAATGCTGGTCTGGTGTTTGGCACTGGTGATGGAGAGAAACATCGCTGAGTGCTAGTGACAGGAGTCCGATCAGGACCTTTGTGCCTAGAATGATCGCAATTCACCTGACATGTGTCCATACAAGTATGGAGGCGTGCGCAACGGCACACAAGCAAATGTGGCAAGCAAGCAAAGCTTTGATTGCTGGAATGCATCCAAACAAGCCAAACCAAAAAGGTATGCCGTATGCCTTTTTTTTTGGCAATCCGGAAAGACCCAAACTCCTTGCGTGTGTCAACATAGGAGACCCCGCCCAAATGTGTGGTGACCTTTTACAGTATCTCTTTAAACCTGAAAACTGCTGAACACCCTACAAAAAAAAACACGCGCACACACAATCGCACACCCCTGTGGTCTTCAACTTGGTTGGTACAGGTGTCTTTTTGTAGGGACCCCTAACTTGCCATTTATTTTTTTGAATCTCCTTTACTTTCCGACCGTTGGCATGGTAGCAAAACATGTTGTTTTTTTGCAGCCCCTACTAAAAACATGGGTACAGACCCAACAAAAACCTAACCACCTAAAAACCCAAAACTTGCCAACAACAGTAAATTCGAAAACCACCCCTAAAAACCGAACAACTTGCCAACAACCCCCAAAAAAAACCCAAGGACTACCACCCCCAAAAGACGAGGCAGCTCTCCCTCACGAAGCCGCCTCCTCGGAGCGTAGCTCGGTGAGGTGCAGCAGCCGCTCCACGGAGGCGAGCTGCGCGAAGGCGCGGGTGCCGTAGTTCACCAGGTATTTGGCCTCCGACGGTTTGAGCAGTTCGCGGTGTGTGGTAAGGTGGTGGGTGGGGGCGGGTGGGTGGGTGGGTGGGTGGGTGGTGAGGGGTCGGTTGGGTGGGCGGGTGAGTGGGTTGGCTGGCGAATCGAAGGCTCCGGAGAATGGATCTTTCAAGCCGGTAAAATGGAAAACTTGAATCGATGGATCGATGGCGAGGCAGGGGACAATTGACATTTGAAGCCTCTGTTAGTGGCAGAAAGGTACCTCGATTCTCCTCAAAAGCGCTAAGCTCGAGGATCACTGGCTGCACATACAGACAGCGTGCGCCATGTGTTTGCGCGCCAAAGCGGCCATATGTCTGAATCCTAAGGGATGAACATGATCACGTAACTCGACCTTGAAAACAACTGGGCTCGCTCTCTCTCTCTCTCTCTCTCTCTTTTTCTCTCACGGGTCACGCGGCCAACTCCTCTTCATTATATATATATATATTATGTACAAGATATGCAAATGTTACTACAATTCGAAAAAATGAACAAAGGGATCCAAGTAAAGGACCTGTGTCATGGTGAGGTCGTAGTACCGAAGCATATAAGATCGCTATAGACTAGGCAGACAGAGTACAGAAACGAAATCGTGATGGTTGTCATCATAAACAGCAGCAAGAGCCTTTTACAACTAAGCGCTCAGCGAGTGCAGTCAATGTCAGCGCCTCGGGCTCGCAATGCTCAGGCTCCGCGGAGTATCTTCCAAACTGTTATACTGTGAATGGACGAAATCCTGCACCACCTAACAAACCCTGAAATGATGATTCCCCTGCAAATACCAACCAACAATTGTTTCCCATGGATTCAAGCTGGTGCAGGGTTTCGTCCATCCACAGTACGACTCATACAAATTGCAGACATCTGGTGACTAACTCCTCTACCGCGGACGGCGCCTCGACAAGTCTCCATTGCCATGCCCAGCTCTTGTCCGCGCAAGCAACAAAGCAAGCGAGCGAGCGCAGCGAAGCAAGGCAGCAATCCAGCAAACCAGCTGAATATGGTGAATCCAAAACAATAAGAAATTGGCATTCACAAATACTGATCTGTTTCATTTGTCGGCGCCTTGATGTCTGCAATGTACCTATGCAACCTGTGATGCGAGGGCCCAGACCTCGAATTGTACCGAGTCATAAATTCTCAACAGCTTTGGATCAAAGGCTCCCTCTGCAAAGGACCCGGCTTGGACCAAGAGAAAATATATGGGATACCGCAAAATGGTCAGCCTAGTACTGGCGCTCTGCACTTTGCCCTGGCAATTCATGCCGCAAGCTCAGCTCGCGAATCCACACGACCGGTAAATCATGCATGCACTAGGCCAACTTTTTGGGGCTCAACGATTGATTTGAAACGCTTGAGATAAGCCAGGAACACGATCAATGCATGTTTTGACGGCGGGCACAAGGAAAGGTGCCCCCAAGGTCTGCTATCGCACTGCTTGTTCGTTCATTTCAGTGCGGAGCATTTGGTCACTGGCATTGCTGAAATGTGCGATTTGTGAGGCAAAATCTGCTGTTCCAATCTTGGTCAAGCCGTCCCAATCTGGAATCAAAACAACGTGAATGCCACAAAAGCGTAATGCCAACGCCAAGTCTTGACCCAGTTCAGCCCTGGGGCAAGCTCTCAGGAAAGAAGCTGTGCCAAAGTCATGGGCTGTGCCGTTAGTCTGGGGTGCCGGGCGTAAGTCAGGGACAAGCCGGACATGCCCAGATGGGCATTGGTGCACACGCAAGTCACCGCCACTAACAGCAGCATGGCACCCCCGATCAGTTCCTCAGCGCAAAAAAAGAAGCAAAGTCGGGGTGTCGAAGCCTGGATTCACATCACTTTGGGAAACTTACCTGGCCAAACGGAAAGCTCTGGCCAGAGCTTCAATTCCTCCAGTTTCTACAGTCTGGCTTTGTGTTGCGGGAACACCTTTAATCCAAAACGCAAAAACAAAAAATCTAACATAAAACGGAACATGTGTGAGCGGGTGCAAACGGACCATATAAGGCGGGCGTGCAAGTGAGAAAGCGGGCGGACGAGTGGACGAGTGGGGCAATTGATGGGCGCATTTAGCCTACTCTTGCGCGGAGATGTCATGGGCTAACTTGTGGGTTTTCCACGGCCGCTTTGACATGAGTCACCGAAGCTCTTGTGGAACCGGAGTCTACGAGAAAAAACACAAAAACATGTGCATCATCCGCATGACACATACGGTTGCGGTGCCTGAACGAGGCTTAAGTCAGTCTCCATGACTTACAATCGCACTTAACTGAGCAAAGCACATGATTCATGAAATGCTGAGGTGGTCGCGAGAAGCGCTAAGGACAAACATCGCTCAGCAGCCCAAGAGCTAGAACCCTCTGCCCCAATAGTCCATCTGATCCAACTTGCAAGTGATGTGCACGGGTCAGCTATCTACATAGTACTGCACAAATTGAATGGTGACGCTTAGTGTATAACAGCGGTTTGCCTTTCCAAAAAGGCCATCACCAACAGAACCGACTCATGGGCTTTTAAAAAAAGGCCATCACCAAAACAACCTGACTCATGGACAGTCAATCATTCCAACCATCAAAGCTGCCAAGACCAGCACACCTTGAAGCTACAGCCAACCTAAGAGCATCGCAGCTCGACTCTGAAACTTCCATTGGCTTAAGCCCCCTGGAAAAAAAAAACAAAAAAAACACATATTCTAGTAGTCATCGGTTCCCTTTAAAACCAACAGGGGAAAATAACAAATAAACATATTCTTGAACAAATGGAATGAACCCATGTTGTTTAAAGCCGCCAAGCTGCGAGCTGCAGAGCAAACCACCGCTGCAGCGCCACATTCAGAATCTGTGCCCTGGCAACATGGATGCGACACCAAGCACCGGGTGTGGCCATACACTCACCAAGCCAACATGATGCTTGGACAAGCTTCCAATACCTTCTAATCAGGTGGTGTCAACGGCGATGATGTGCCACCAACCCCTGATTTAACCTTCTTGCTGGCACCATGATCAAAGTCACCCCCGAATGGTAGGTGAAATAAAAAATGGCCAACCATCTTTCTGATCTTGATACCCCCCACAACAAAACAACCTGAGTCTTCCACCTATGCAACCAACCCCCTAATTTAACCCGCCTATACCGGGTTTCCCCTTGCCGGCCGCGTCGCGTCACCCAGCCCCCCAGCCCTTTTGGGCGAGTTGACGACCCCAGCCTGGCGCTCGCCTCCAGGACCGCCAGCGCGTGCAGCTGGGCCCCATGCGTCTGCCCGAAGGTCCTCGAGGCTTGGAGGCCGGGAGGCTCGGCCGAAAAACGTCGAGCAGCGATTCACACGGAACCGTTCGACGTGAAAAGGGGGGGGCCCTGGCTTGGACCATCCTTTTAAAGGGACCGCAGGTTCCATGTGAATTGGGAGGGTTCAATCAAGTCCAGGAACTTGTCAAGTGAGTTTGTAGGGAATCGGCCCCCCGCCGAAGAATGGCAGCGGTGTTCCTTTTGATTTCCCCGTGCCAACCAAAAGGGCCCCCCCCCACCAAACAAAAGAAACGCCCATGCGCCAAACAAAGAAACACGTCCTTGCCCCAAACGGTCTCTAGTTTCCGAAACCTTGCAGAAAAGTATTTATATGGCGAAACGGAATTTATCCTTGCCCAACGAAGAAAGGCTCACCCTTTCTGGCCAGTAAAACAAACCTCGGGTTGCGGGCGGGACTTCGCTTTTTTTTCTCGTCCTGAGGTACTCCCGGCCCTCGAGGCACTCCAAGAGGTGCGCCACCACCGGCCCGTTGAGCACCGAGCTCATGCGCGCTCCCTCCGAGGCCACCGGCGAATAAGCGGAGGCCAAGCGCCACATCACCAGACCGAGCCTCAAGTCGAAACCAAAAAAACACCGAAGCTTCGCCATTGTTTGAGGTGTTTCTCAAAACTGGGCTGGCCGTTTTCTGATCTTTTGCGAACAGTGGCTTACTTTTGGTGGGTGAAATGGACACCCCCCACTAAACCCTAAAAATCTGAAAAACCGAACACACTTGCAGGAAAGGTGAAGGGAAACAAATAAGCAGGATTGGGTGTTGGCCTTGGCGTTTGAAGCCCGAACTCCAGGTTGAGGACAAACAATTGGTCCTCCGAATTCGTTCAGTCCGAAGAGTCACAAATCCACGAGAGCGAAGATGGAGCATAAATGTGCAGAGTAACCACTCAGGGCCTTAATCCACAGGCAACTATACAGTAACTATGTATCCGCATGTCATGTCCCCTGAAGGACTGCAATCCCCATTTTTCAGAGACAGCCCTGATCAAACACTGTTCTGTTTCTATCATTTTTTTTTCCAACGTAAACAAATTGCTACTTTAAACAAAACGTGCGAAGTGATCAGTCAACGAGTCTGACTTCGTGGTGCTCCGGGGCTTGCCGACGTCCGAGGCGCAGAAACGCCGCGGGCGCCAAGGCGGGGGAGGCGACGAGGATGGCCGTGAGGGCAGAGAAGAGCGCGGCGACGCACGCCAAGGCCTGGAGCTCTTGGCTTCGTCGGCTTTTTGCGCCCATCTCCCTATATGAAAGTTGATAAGTGGTTCGTAAGCCTGGTTACAACCCACTTGGGAGACTTATAACCATGGCTTTTGTGGGGTTATCTCAGTATCTCACCCTGGTTATTACAACCACTTACCAAGTACCCTGCCCCTTTTAGTATGAAACTCCCGGTAGCTCCCTCCTTGGCTCCCTCTTTACGGGAGAAGTTGGATCCCTTACAGGAGAAAGTTGGTTTGTGACCATCATAGGTTTGATGTGACAATCAAACAAATGTGCGCTGAAAAACAACAAACAAATGTGGGGAACCTTGAAGGGAAGCTGATGCATATATGTGTCCTTTTGGAAAAACGGGTGGATTTGAGAAATGGATTAGAACCAATCTATGGATTTGGCTACTTAAAGGGGCGATCGTTTCGGTTCGTGGTGAGTAAGCCTCGTTACAACCCACTTGGGAGACTTATAACCACGGCTTTTGTGGGTTATCTCACTATGGTTATTACCACCACTTACCAAGTGCCCTGTCCCTTTAAGGAACTCCTGGTAGCTCCATCCTTGGCTCCCTCTGTTGAGAAATTGCATACCCCCAGCCCCTTAGCTTTCTTCTAACCACCAGGGTAGCTCCCTCCTTGCCTCCCTCTTTAAAGGCACCAGCCCCTTCGCTCTCTACCAACCAGCCAGTGTGAAGTGCTAACCAGCCAGTGTGATTTTGGCGGTGTTCCGGGGGTGGTTTCCTATTTACCCTCTGCACTCGTGTACGAGAACCAGGGCTTGGAATCCGCACCACCAATCCATCCAATAGGGGATACCTGAGTCACTGGATTGCAGTCAGGTATTTTCCAAAACAAAAAACACTGCCACTGTCGGAGGTTTGAAAAAGGGAAATGGAGGCAATCCTCCAACCCATTTCCCCACAAGATGAACAACTTGCAGTTCTCCAAAATTATGCCTCTTTTGGAGGGCCAAAAAGCAAAGTTGAGGAACTCCTGGTCCATTGGGCTAGTTTGGGGTGAGGAGGCGTGGCGGGGTTCCGGGTACGAAACAGAAACACTGACACAAACCAGCTAACAGATCGCACACGATTGGGCTGCCACTGGGAATCCACATCTGTGACGCTTCCAAACAAACTAGAGATGGAAGCAATCGTCGGTGACAAACTTACTTCCCCCAGTGATTATTGTTTCCCTGCATAGGTAATCAAGGCAACCACCCTTTAAAATCCAGAAGGAACATGTTTGGTTACCCTGGTTCCCCGCCTTTCAGGGTACCTGGGATCCACTGGGTTCCAAATTCGCGGGCATGGGACACGCGTCCTGCGCCAGAAGTGCCGGCAGCCGCGAGTCCAAACTGTCCAGGTCCTGACTCGGTCGAGGCTTGCGGCAATGGGCTCGCCGATTTGATTTCATGGATGGCAAGTCCACATGGTTCTTAGAACAGGGATTGGACCCCTTGTTGCATGGTTTTGAAGGGAAACCAAAAGGACACCAGCTGGAGGGATCCCCAATTTTGAGAAACACCTACGTGGATGCAGCCCTGGAAATTTCGGCAACCACAGGATTTTGTGCATCAGTGGCAGACATGTGGTACGTAACGGGCTGCATGTCTGAGCCCAACTCTGCTGGACACAAATTGGCGACGCCTTGGCAAATCGGGAGAGCAAGTTGCCGGGAGCAGCTGCCGTGTCCTCGGCCAACTCTCTCGGGTGCCAACTTCTGCACATGTTCGTCGTGGATCGGTGCAAAGATGGAAAAAGGGACCGGGGGGCACAAAGTAGTGGTCACCTCAAAGGGTTGGTGTCCCCTTTGCTGTCCTTTTGAATACCAAAAAGGGGTCCACCAGTTTGAGCGACTCCCATTAATATGATGTTTGGTGTCTGGTGAAAAATAAAGAACAAGAAGCAACTGGGCATGACGACAGCCACAGGATTTCTCTGCCAGTACATGCTGCAGTCAAGACAGTGAGAAACGGGCACAAGTTCTAGCGCTTCACGTGCAAGACCTAACATGTGTCGGCATTCTGTGCATCTACCAATTTCTGCTATGTACAGTTGACTTTGCAAGGCTGCCAGGGCGTTAAATAAGATGTGACATTACTGCGCTAGTACTTACACGTCCACCCCTCCCTGAAAACTGCCCCAAACCATCCCGCAGCCTATCTCATAGCTTTCAGTTGTTGGGGAAAAGAATAGTTGTGAACAGGGGGAGAGGTGGGATTTGATAGTGGGAAAGCGATCGCAGTGACTGGGTTGGATGGGATGGGATTGGGCCGGCGCGGATGGATTCCGAGGATGGCCCTCCTAGCCCGGCCAGCGCCCCGCCGCTTGCTCAGGTAGCGACCAAAGGGGCAGTCAGCACATGCCAAAGGCCGTCAGCATGCCTCAGGCTGCAACTTGTGGCAGAACCCTGACAGGCCAACAGGTATTCTCAGTTTGCGAATTTGTCCCCTGGAAAGAATGAGAAAATGTGTTTAGCAGTGATAGAGTACATTTCAAATCAACAGGGGAAGATAAACAATCCTAAGCAAATGGAAGGTATACCATTTACAGGTGCAGGTTCACTTCATGGTGCTTCATGCATACGGGCGAGATTCACAGATCGGGAAATTGCTACCAAAGCTGATGTGACACAAAGGCTGCCGTAAGCTCCACTGGTTGTCCAGACATCAATCTGCCACAGAAGCCGGTCTGCAGTCTCGTGTCGATTCGGTCTAATACGGCCGATGACAACCTGGAAGCAACTTCCCATGTTGCAATATTGCATATGCCTGAATTGTTTGAATTGTCCAACAGGCTACAACCAAAAATGAGAGTGTAGCCAGTTTGCACATGTTCATCTAAAACCATTCCAATGTTACTCTCAGCAAAACCCGGTTTCGCCTCCCCAAATCAAGGGTGGATGGCTCTGTAGGAAGAGCCACGCTGAGTGAGTAGCCTTCTGCTGCAAGTCAGCCTTGATAGGTGGGGATTTCCGAAATATTCGAAAAGTGCAGATCAGATCCAACCGCAAAGACATGGTATGGTGGTAAAACACTGGGGCGGACGCTTTTTCGGGGAACCCCCCCACCCCCGCCACAAAAAAAAAACAATCAAGTCCTTTTGGTTCTCCGTTCAAACCGCAAAAAAAAGGTACCAACTCCAAAAAAGACACCTCCAGGGATTGCCTTCCTCCCCTTGACATCATCCGCATCCAATAGTACCGGGGCATAGCTGGGTGCCGGGCAGGCGCGAAGACGCGCGCAGGCAAAGCATAGGCCAAGAGGCTGCCTGCGGGGATTCCCGTATGGATTTGTCTACTTAAAGGGGCGATCGCACAGTTAGTGCTTGGTAGCCTGGTTGTAACCCACTTGGGAGACTTACATCCATGGCTTTCATACGGTTATTAGCCACTTACTAAGTACAATGCTCTTAGGCAAATGTCTAGACAAATGCCTCAGCACTAAATTCAAACAAGAAAAATACAAAAAGCAACTGTGCAAAACATCCAACGAAAACACGTAACATATAGTTGTTTGAAGGGATCCGCAAGAAAAACACACACAACACAGATTTGTTGAGGAATCCAGGAAAAACACATAGAACACAATTTGTTTAAGTGATCCCCAGGAAAAACACACAGAGCACAGATTTTGTTGAAGGGATCCCCAAGAAACACACAAAAACACATGTTTCAGGGATCGCCAAGTACAACTCACGGGAGATTCCCATTCCGTGGAGATGTGTAGAATGCCCAAAAAAGGGATCTTCCATCGGATTCTCCGAGCTCGCTTGGGTTGTGCCTGGGATCAACTCAAAGCCCTCACGAAGTCAGCATCGCCGCTCGCGCCGCTCGCCATGTCAAACAGATGCAGCAGATGTTCAGCGGCATCGGTTTTCTTTTGGCTGAGCTGCGGCTGCACGAGGCCGAGCGAATGACATCTGACAAAAACCAGAGGAAACACTGTCTTCAAGGACAACCCGCGTGGCGTATCTTCTTGGGCTCCCAAGAAACCACATCCCCACAGCCTGCAGAGTGACCATGATTGCTGCCAGCAGGGCCAGCAGCATGAACCTTGCATCGGGGGTCACCATGGGCTCACGACCGCCTGAAGCCTCAAACATCTTTCTTCAGGTGTCCCTAGTTTTTGGGCACCGAGTTGCGCAACATGTGTTAGACCTGACCAATTCGTGGAAGCCTTGCAAGGGCCCTCCAGAACACTCGAAGCAGCTTCTCGTTGCCAACTCACACATGGTCTTTCTCTGGATTCTCATGGGATCCATGATTGCTTTGGGGAGTGTTGACATCCTTACTCGGAAATTGCCATGTTGAGCGATGTTTTGCGCCCGGGCAAAGGGGACACCATTTGGACGACAGGAACAGACGCATAATCTTCATGACAGTGTCAGCAAGGGTAGTGGATTGATTGAGCAGTTTCTTGCTGCAAACCTGTCAAGCCAGTGTGTTCTACATGCGAACGACATTGTCAAACCGGCCACTTCAGATTATTTAGACTTCAGCTTCCAAATAGGTGCTCCACGTTTGGGCAAGCACTTCCACGCACAGCTCTGATGCTCAGGTGTTCACAATTGCGCAACAGTTCGTTTTGCCGTGAAACCGGTGCACCCCGCTGTTGGCATCGTGGAACTTGTGAATATGGCACTTGCTTGAGATATGCCTCAGACATTCACATGAATCCAGGCTAGTCCACAAGGTCCAGCCAAACTAGCACAAGAAGCAAGCAAACCAGCAAGCCGGCAAGCCAGCAAGCCGGCAAGCCAGCAAGCAAGCAAGCAAGCAAACCTGCTCAGATTAAGGGATGGGCTGCCATGTAATCCGGTAAGCAGTGAATAACCATGCAACGCGAATACTACTAGTATCTAAAGATTAGCGTTACTGTGTGTGTGTGTGTGTCTTTGTTTGCTGGCTTGTTTGCGTGCTTGCTTGTTTGTTCGCTTGTTTGATTGTTTGGTTGCTTGTCAGCCACCATGCGCGAAGTGGCAAAATCGCCTGAGCGTGACACCTTGTCAGCTGAGCCCCCGGGCACGAGAAGATTCCGAGCCAGCCCTCCGCCACTTTGGCCTGTCACAATCAACAAATGCGGGTTGATCACAAGGTCCTTTGCATGGGATGACCATTGGAGAAAACCGAAAACCACTAACAAGTTGATACTTCCCACATGGGAACGGTTTCCCGTGGTGATTGGGGGCAAGGAACATGGAGAAAAACCACCGCATTTCCTGCCGCTTTCTGTGGCTGTGCAGCAGCTTGCCATGTGCTTTTGAAACAATGGCTCTCTTGCTTGCTGTTGCTTGCTTTTGCTTGCTTTTGCTGGCTGTTGCTTCCTTTTGCTTGCTGTTGCTTGCTTTTGCTTGTTGTGGCTTGCGAGTTCTTGCTTTTGCGTGTGCTTGCTTGCTGCCTTGCGTGCTGTTGAACTGAACGCCCAGTTCCATCAATGGTCTCCTCTTGCAAATGCGACTGCAATCGATGGGAAGGTCTTATCAGTTTGGCAGCAGGCCTTGTGCTGACGCTGGCAAGGCTGACCAGCGTGCAAGCCAGCAGTCCTGAAACCAGAGGCTGGGAACTCGGCACAGCTGTCCCCTCAAAGCAAGCAATGCAAAGAAGGGTAAGACGCATCCCACCGGCCAACAACAGTACCATGGCTATCGCAACACGCATGTCGATGATTCCTGGAAGGAACGGACACAACAACTCATGTGCTTTGCACAAATAATCTGAGCAAGTGCACAGCCGATTGACTGAGGCATGTGACAAAACACATATCAACCTTTGCACAAAGCATGCACAAACGAGAATTGCCTAAGCAGCTTCTTGCGGTTGGGAACAAACAATCAAATCAAATGGGTTCTCACATCTGGGCTGCCCTATCCCCAGATCTGCTAAAAGCTTAACTCTTGGTTGAAGCCACCACTAAACACTAGGCTAAAAAGTTAAGGAACCGGATGGCTGGGAGCCAAGACATAACAAAATAGCTGGTTGCATTTTGGTTGCATTTTGGTTGCATTTTGCCCGCACCCTGTGACGGGCACCGAGGTGCCGGCCACAATGACAATGCTGGCTTGGGAGGCGAAGAACAGGACCAAGGACAGCGCGAAAATGGCCTCGGAATTCCGGTGAGTCCTTGATCCTTGCTGGTGATTTCACTAGGGATCCTTCCGGTGGGTCCTTCCGGTGAGTCTTTTCACCTAGGATTTTACTCATTCCCCGCTGAGAACCAGCAAGTTTCGCCAAGGATGGAATTCGAGAACCAATTTGAAACGTTTCGGGATCCGGTGAATGCTCCCAGGCCGGGGTTCCACTTCCATTGAACTGCTCATTGTCCTTGCAAGTATTTCGGAAATGCGGGCGCTGACCTCGGTCGCTTTTCCTGGCCCAGCAGGATCGAACTTGTTCTGTGCGTCGAGACTTGTGTGTTTTTTTCTTTTCAGTGCGGGTGTGTCTCGTTCTTTCACGTAGACGGAAAACAGCGCTGCATTTGCAACCAAAGGGTAGTGTTCAAGGTATTGATGGGGCATCCCTGATTGTGGCTGGATGTCTTGCATTAAGGAACAACAAGTTACCAAACTTGGCTCCACTGCCTGGCCCCAGCAACTCGCCAACCAGCCTCAGGCCCAAGTGTGTATGAAACAGGCCTTGCCCATCCAGCAACCCGCCCAAGCACAGCTCAGCCCAGTTCCAGGCGCAACCAGCAGCGTAGTCCGGCTGCCCGGCAGCCAGCAACCCACCCATGGCTTCGCAGCCTCGTGGCTGAGACTAGCTTCAGGCCCAGCCCAACCAGCAACCCACCTCAGCCCAGCCTGCCCAGCCGAGGCCCCGGCGCATCTGAGAGCATGCCAGCCACTAGGCCGGCCCCCAGCTCCCAGCCCACAAGCAGGCTCAGCCCAGCGTGCCAAGTTCAGGTTTGCCTAACGTGCCTGAGACTGGCCTCAGGCCAACGACCAGTCTCACGTGTCTGAGACTGGTCTCAAGCTACGCTAGCTACCAAGCCTGTCTGACGTGCCCCAGCCCCCCCGTCCGGCTGCCCAAGCAGCTCAGCCCAGGCTGACCAGGCCTTCACCTCCTGCTCGTGTCTGGCCCCAAGTCATCCAGCAGGCCCAGCCCCTTCGGCGTCTCAAGGTATGCCAGCCTGAGACTAGCCTCAGGCCCAGTCCCTCAGCCCGCCTGCTGGCGTGTCTATTGGGGATATTTCCGGGGTACTTAAGCATTTGTATTCCCACCATGTACCTGTCTTGGGCTGAGCAACCGAGCAAGAAATGTATGTCATGGCAAGCCGCCAGCCACGTGAAATGGAGGTGCCCAAACACCCAAAGTTGGTCTTGGTCGTTCAGTGACACCAATTTTTGTTCCCCTTTTTATGGAGGCCAAGCCCCACTAAAAATGCTCATCCCCAGAAAGAGGTCCTTTTTTTCCAAGGGCACTGAGCAGCTGAGATAGTCTTGGTTTTGGATTTCAATCCTTCCGAGCAGGACGGCTTCCGAACATCGAACTAGCACGGGCGAACTGGTGCGGTCACAAGCTTTCAGTAGGATTCGGACCTTCCCAACACTGGATTTCGGTGTTCCTGACCCTTCCCTCAAACTAGGCTGGGCCGAGGCGGGCAACGCGAAGCGCTTACAATTTATCCGATAGTTGATTGATAGGGGGTATACGGTATGCCCTTTTAATTCGTGGAGATTCATCCCTTGCGGGACCACCACCCCCAAATCTCTCAAGGCCCATTGACACTGCACCAAACCACAGCTTTGAGCTCACTCTGAGGCACGGGCACCTCCGCCTCCGAAGCGCATGGCATAGCCGTAGCAAACCTTGGCACCTGGGCCAAATGGCTCGGAGATCGGAGACCGTTTGAGTGCTTTGGAGACTGTGACGCCCAGCCACCATGGAACTAGCCTGAAGGACGACTTTGAAAGGAGAGCCCCGTCGGTGGAAAAAGCCGACACGAAAAATTACCTCTTGCAGCTACCTTCTGTTTGACCCTATGCATGCTTGAGGCTGCTTGAGGTCCTCCGACGTGTGGCCTGTCAGTAGGAATTCACGGAGGCTGCATCAACTAACATGTCATATCCATGAGCCTTCCGAATAGAGCTTCCAAAAGGGCCTGGCAAGAAAGCAAGCGGTTTGGTCCCTAGTTGTGACAAGTATCCATGCTGATGACATGATAAGTCATTCGACAAGCAAGTTGAGCAGGCTCCGGAGGAAGAAAATGCATTCATACACACACACATACAACAGGCCAAACTACACAGTTGACACACATGCGGACGAAGTCAATCCCCATTACAGGAGCGTTATCATGGTGAAAATGCAAGACAGCACATACTGATTCCTGTGTGGAACACTCAGCCGTGATGGGGCTGTCATCGTGACTCTTGCCTGTCCTTGAAATGGTCCTGGAAGTGGGCAATGAAAACCCTTATAAGGGGGCGGCATTGCACGTGCTCGGAACTGCAGGAACTAGAAGGCTCCAGCGTCCAACTCCTCACTTCCGACTTTGCCCCTTGGAATTCGTTCCGCCCCTGCTAAACAAAGCCCAACTGCAGAGCATAGAAACCAGCTACAGGATCTTCAACAAGAAGTTTGCCAAACACCCGCCGAAAACCATGATTTCCGGTACGAACAAAAACTCCAGTAGCTGGTTTCTCAGAGCAGAACATTCGCCCTCCCAACCAGCTCTCCCCTTTTGAAGGCGGCTCCATGGGCGGTGGTGTTCTTCCTTCAGGGAGCTTCCCCCCAATTCCACGCGGTCTTGGGCGAGCACGGCTGGATACTGGCCCAGGGCCTGGATGGGCTCGGGCTGGAAGCAGCCTCACCCTTGATACCAGATGAGGCTCCTACTTAAAGGGGCGATCAGGTAAGTGGTGAGAGTAAGCCTGGCGAGATAACTCACTGAACGGAGACTTACCATGGCTTTTGTTCGGGTAGAACCACGGTTGTTATCCGGCTTTCGAAGTACAATCCCCCTTTAAGTACTGTTTCTTCAAAAGCGTTGCTAAAAGACGAGGGCATCATTCTGTCAAACCCACATCAACAAATCACTAAAATGTCAGTGAGCCGTCGGTTTCTCTGATCAGGACTTTGGATGGAGGACACTCAAACACAGCGGGGGGGGGGCCGTAGCTTTCACACGGCAAGCCCTTGGTCGGACGGCATCGATGCACATCCTGTGAAACATATATGTTAGCCGTTCCAGGGAAGACCCCCAACTGCAGGCCTTCAAGAAAGGACAAATGCTCTCATGAGCTCATGAGCTCTCCCCTGTTGGCAATTCTCCTGACGAGAAAGTAACAAACACCATAAATACTGGTGCCGGTGTGTCTATAGGTAGAATCAGCTGATATTCCCGCACAAGCGGAGCGTACATGTTCAAAAGAGCTCCACATACTCCAAACCAAACTCCTTTTGCTGTACCTCGCAGACAACTGTCGAGAGCGACCCGAAAACTCCAAATTAAGCGGGTAAGCGGGCAAACTAGCAGAAGCAACGATTGAGTTGGCCAAGTGGACCAAGCGGCTCACGAAGGTGTCTCCAGGATTCGACTCAAGGTGATTCGGGTGGAAATTTGAAACTGCGACTTCTCCTCAAATGGATGGCTCGTCTTTTTTCGAGGGTGCCTCTTTTTGGTATGTTCAAAGGGAAACCAAAAGGAAAACCACCAATTTGGGGTGCCACACCCAAAAGGCTTCAGGCTTTGGCTTCAGAGGTGCAGGAAGCCCTTGCGCATACGACATTGCCCCGCTTTGCCCCTTGCTTCTGGGCCAAAAAGGCACAGCCACCTGACGTGTCAAGAGTCATTGTTGGCTACGGTAGCCCGAGAATACCCCTTCCCGAAGTCCCACGCATAGCCAAGTCCCATCTTGTCAACCTCTTTCTCTAGTTGCCAGACATGTGAAGACCCCTTTGCCAAGTGCCACATAGGCTCTATCACGGGGAACCTCTGAAGCTGCTGACCCCCGAAGCACCAGGCCTGCAGACACCTGCCAGGGATGCTGTGGAAGCACCGTTTAAAGCCCAGGACGAAGGGGTGCAACATGGAAACGTATGGGTGTTTCATGCCTGTTGCGTATTGGGGGCTGGGGGGATTGGGGTAGGGGTCAGTCAAATTCGAAATATGGGTGAGTCTAGTTTTAGGGTTTCCCCTTTTTGTGGTTTAAATGGAAACCAAAGGGTTTGAGTCTGACGAACAAGCATGCCATTAACTCCGGCACCGTTGGACCAGCACATGTTTTTGCCTGATCCACCCGATAGATTTGCACATAGAGGGCATGCAAGGAACGCTCCTTCCAGAACCTCCCGCATATGCAAAGTATGACATGTGATCAGCGATCGGAAGAGTGAGCGTTGCGGCGCAGCAAAAGCCCAAAAACACAGCATTGAAGCGTCGAATCAAACGAAGCTTAAAGGGAACTTTCGTAGTACTGGAACTAATGGAGCTGTGTTTCTCTGATGAACATGCTTGCATGCGCCAAACAACCATGAACACAAACTGAGAACCGCGAGAACTGGAGAAAATAAATGAACAAACACTATCGCCCTGTGCGTGAATTCGGCTCTTCGGCATGTGTGCAAACCACCTCTGTTGCGACATGGCCTGTGATCTCAGAGGAGTCTCGGAGACGGGCCCATTGGCACGAACGCTCGCACTGTTGCGCAACCTTCAAAAAGTGAACCCTCTGCAGGCTTTCCTGAGGTCGACCTCGATTAAGAAACTAGCATTTGTTACGTTTTGCAATTCAAGCCTCTGCGGACTTTGCAAGCGCCGGCCAGCGCGCAAGGATCAGCTTGCGCATCTGCGGTGTTCAAGCGCGGCCGAGCTCAGGACTTTCGCACACATTTGATCAGTGGCGATACGCGCCGCTCTTCTCTCCTCTTGGCTCAGCTCCGCAACCTTCGCCTTGCGGACGCACGCGTTCTATCGAGACGCTACGCCATTGACACGTCAGCTGGAAGATGATCGATGCTCAGGGCTAGCATAGGATTGCTTGCGCGTGCCGCTCCAGGCTGAGCAGCACGGCTCGAGAGCCGTGCTGTTGGGCTGCGTTCGCTTGCTTTCGCGTGTCGTCTGAGGCAGCGCTGCAAGCGGCAAGTCACAGAAAAAATGTGCGCTGGCGGGCTCGGAGAGTGATAGGAAGGGAAAGTCTCCAACTAAAGTTGATTGACTCTCTTGAAACTTCCGCCCCGCTGCTCCGCCGGCTTTACTGGCAGCAACATATTTTACGATTGCTTGACGGTCATGCTGATCACGCATGTGCCAGTGCAATGACACCCCACTACTAGGCATAGCTGATACACAATCATTCACACAGGGGTCACTGGATTTCTCTTTGGACAAGTTGCAATTGACTGGTGGTGTCCATTGAAACTGCCACTTTGGGAGGTTCAACAAAGCGACATGGAGGAACCCCTGTAATAAGTGCATCGAACATTTTGAGAAGACGTTGACGACGGCTGAGATAACATGCCAACTCGACGCCTCTTGACGCTGCCAAAACCTCGCTGTACACTGTACATGTCGACACAAGGTCGATGGTGCAAAGGCAAGGCCATCTGGCTCTGCCAGCCAAAATCTTCATTAGCGCAGCTCGCACACAAGCCACAGCGCACTTGGTTGCTGTTGACCCCCCTGCAAAAAGTTTACCTTTTTGGGGGTTTAGTGGAAAACCCCTTTACTTCCCAAAAAGTCAAAGTCTTAAGATCCAATCCAATAGCAGTCAAGGCACTGCCTGCCAGTAGGCTTCAGCTCATCTCCGGGGTCTCTTCACGAAGACAATGCGCCAAGACACGGCGCCCGTCTCCAGGGCCTCGTTGAAGAGGGGCAAGCCCTTGCCGCCTCACATGTGCAAACCCGGCGCTCGACCAATGGCTACAGGATGTTGGCCCTGTATGTGAACAAACCTTTATGGGTGTGTCTTAACATAGGGTACCCCCCCCTCTTGGCTTCCCTTTAAACCAACAGGTTTCCCTCGAACAAAGACAAAAAAGCCCACCCCGAAAAACGGATTCCCTTGAAAAAAGCCACTCGTCGTTACACAAAAGAAAAAGACAAAGACCCAAAAGAGGGAGACTCGAGACTTGACCCAGCCTTTGTCGCCAAGGCCGTGAGACCGCGCGCCATCTTCGATCTTCCATTGCCTGGAGGCGTTCCCAGATAGATCCCCCGCCAAGTCGAAAACTTTTCGTGGTTTCGTGGAAACTACCACTAAACCAACCTAAAAAGCTAAAAAGCTAAGGAACCGGATGGCTGGGAACCACCAAGTAAGCTGTATTCTAGAAAGAGAGTCCCTCCGAGTATATTGGCCACTAGGGAGAGAAAGCACACTCTGGTCATGTGCACACACCTGTCCCACATAGACAATGAAATGGGAAAAGGTATCCAAAAGGTCTGCGAAAAGGTTCCTCCAATCCAAGCTGTAGGTATCTGGAAGAATCAAGTCAGAAATCAAATCAAGGAGTTCAAGGCGAGTTGAGCAGGAACATATCCGGCCCAAAGACCCAAAAGCCGGAAAACCAACAGCCCACCACCCAAAAAACTGCGGGACTCCCCGACTCCAAGCGGCATAGCGAAGAGACGCTCCACCAGTGACTTTGGACATTTGAACTCCATGATGGTGGACACCGGAGGCGTGACCTTCTTTTTGCCCGTGAAATACTTCCTGCCTCGGCAAGCGAAGGGGATGCCACGAGAAGAAGAACCGTCCCCAGTTAGACGGATCACCCGAGAACCGCATGTCGCGAAAAGTCACAGGACCCCTTGAACATGTCTGAAACATGAGATATCTGCATAGGGTGGGGGGTTGCTCCAAGGTGTTTCAATACAAACCACGTGTCCAGAAATTGATCAATTGTTGGCTGATTGTCAATTGGGCTGCGTGCAGAGTTCCGGCAATGGCTGACAAACAGAAAATACCATGGCAAGCTCATGCCTGTTTGTCATTGTTTAAGATCAGCAACACCAACGCTTAAGAACACACCAAACAAGAACGCAGGGGCTGGGCACCTGAAAGCAACCCAGCACCTGCAGCCTAAGTCAAACACAGATTGGCATGACGTCTTTGATTCAGAACCCCAGAGAGGCACACATCCTTATTTCACACGTGCACCTCCGGTGACAAGGAAAACAAACGCCTTGCAGCCTGGACTTGATCACCTGATGACCTGGTGGCCTGTCTGCACGACGGTGATACCGTGATACCTGTCCACCAGGTTGCATCAAAGCAGATAGGGTCTAAACGAGGGCGCAGCCAAGGCAGCTACCTTTTGCCCAGCAATTCTTACTTTTGGATTCAAAGTGAAGGAATCAACTGAAGGAACCATTGTCCCATCACATGAACTAGTGTTCATCATGGGGTCAGCAAACTGTATTAACAAACCACCAGCGAGAAGCCACGACGCGTTTGCGACATGGCAAAAAAAAAAAACGCCAAGAGCTGTCCAGCGGCAGTATTCATACCCTTCGGTACCTTCGACAATCGTCTGGTAGGGCTGTGAGTCAGGCAGCAGTGAGTGCTCCAATAAGAACACCGCTTCTTTGTCCGTCATGTGACGGTAGACGTAGGCCATGTCCTCCACATCGGCGTCTTGCTCCGGCTCGGTCTCAGGCTGGTCCTGTGCAACATGCACGAAAACAGGACGTTGCCAAGCAGTAAAGACCTGGCGGAAGTGCAACAAACTTGAACGAGTTGAGCCTGAGAAACATCATACCATTTTGAAACCTCAAATCACCAATTTGGATATGTTTAGTCTTGTGGCAAGCAAATCACATTCAACCAATACACACCAATGTCCTGCTATCTTGGAATCCTCTTATTCTCCCATGCCCTCCCCAAGGTCAAACGCTCCGGGATGTTGTTTGGGTTTGCCGCTCGGTCTCCTCAGGCGCATCCGCACCTAGTGCAGCCGCCAGCAGAATCGAGCTCGCATTTTTGTGGGAGACCTGCAACGTCCCCGGGTCGACCCCCGGAAGGCCAACCAGTGGTGTTTTGTAGGTTTCTCAGGCAACCCCGAGACGCTTGGGGGCAGAATTACCCATGTTTCCAAGAGGGGCTCTACACAGAATTTGTTTGGGTTCGCATGGCAGAACCGGACTGGGGGGTCCTAAGACTATGTTCTTCTTGGGCCTCTTGGGTTCACCGGTCTGCGGGTCACCTTTTTGGAGTCAGTGGGAAAGCGCTGTTGCTGGTACCGACCCTGCAAACAACCTTGCGGACACCGGCTCAAAAGCAAGCACGGTTGCCGAAAGGAAGGTCCGGGATGAAGGTCCCTGAAAGAGAAACGGATTTGTTGTTCAGGTTTGAGGCTTGCGAATTTGCTAAATGCTCGATTTGCGGCCAAAACCTACTGCTAGCATATGCCCAGCATGTGAGGAATCAGCTTCTTGACCCAGAAACACATTGAGCTACGGCAGCCATGTGCTATCCCGATCCAGCATGTTACCCAAACAAATGCTTCCGCCTGGCCTTTGCTTTTGCCATCTGTAAGCAAAGACAGACGCTCACGTAGAAACACATGTGTTTGCAAGAAGCAATGTTCCATCCATCAGGCTAGCAGCAAATCCCAGACTCTTTCTGCAGACACAAAAAGCGGCCCTTGCCCTTGCAGGGCAAGCAAATGAAACACAAGCACAAAGAATTGAAGTCAATCAAAGCAGTGATACCTTTTAACGATGCCAGGGAAATATCTTTCACCAGGGATTTCGGGAATCTCAGACCAAGCCTGCCTGAAATTAAGCAGTGCCCGCAGTACATGGTCACATGGTAACTAGAAGAGACTTCGCCTGGAAGATTGGGATGATTGGTTCGTGTGAATCTTGCAAATCTAGCCCCAATTGAAGAGAGCGCCCTGGCTTCTGGGGATAATCACGATTTCTTTCATGAAATTCCTTCCAGCCTAACATAATTGCATTCCCTAAATATGGGGGCATGGAAAATCTGTCAACGTTGTAAGTCGACATTAGGGACACTGGTTTATGAATAGCGGGGTGTCCCAGATTGAAATGTGGGGAATCATACCACTTTTGGAGGGGAACAACCCCCACCCCCCTTGGTTTGACGCTATGAATAAACTGGGCACTTGGTAAGTGAAGCCTGGTAACCCACTGAACGGAGACTCGCAACCATGGCTCTGGTCGGTTATCTCACCATGGCTATTGCCCACTTACTAAGCATCCAGGAGCAACTTCAAGTATCTACTTGTGGGTGGCTTCAAATTAAAGAGCCAGGGTTACGCAGTTTTAGTCTTTGTTTCCATTTACCAGAGTTCCATTTTAGGTACCCATTTTTGACCCACAGCCACTTCCGTGGCTTGACTTCGAATTCTTGCCTCTGCGAGTTGTTTCTCTTCCAGCAGCTGCTTCTCATGGGGCCAGAGCCCAGCTTTCAACATCTTTCCACGCCCGTTGGCCCGCGCCCGCTTTGCGGGATGCCTTGAGCCCTGGAGCAACGAGCACTTGGGCCGGTCGGTAGCCTGTGCACCTGGAACACGGGTGAGGATGGACCTGGTTGGTAGGTGTCGAAGCCTCAAAAATGGAACCTGTGGCTACGCATGGCTGTGGTCAGACACTTCAACACACGTGAGTTGCATGAGACAGCCCACATGGGCACCTTACAAAATGGAGAATTCTCCTTAGTTGGCGTTCCAACCAGCAAACCAATAGAGCAACTTCTTGCACAAGAGTGCGGCAACACAAATCAAGTATTGGTTTCGACTCCTCCGTCTCGGGAGCAGATTCGGGTGTCTCTCTCTTTGTTTTGTTGCGGGACCCTTCTTTGCTTGTTAGGGAAACCAAAAGGAAGAGCATGGGTCTATGATGAACCACGCCCAGTCGTTTTGAGGCTACTCCCTTTTTTGGGGGCTCCCCTGTTTTGAGACACACCCCTTCCCCTTTAGTGGCCACCTTTGGCTCCCCCAGCAGTCGGGTCGTCCGTCCGGCTCCGCCTTGGGCCACAGGGCGTGCAGCTCTTGCAGCACCGGAGCCGGCAACGGCAGAGCGCCTGGCTGCATGAAAGGAACCTCCGCAAAGAACCTGACAAACAGCTGTAGCCTTGAACCTGCCAATCATTGCTGCTACTTCAATCTGCCAGCTTTCCCTCAGCAATGTTCTATTCAGTCTATGCAACTCATCTAGGCATTCAACAAATACTAGGTCCTCCAGTAGAGAGGCTAGAAAAAGGGTACCAACTTTTTTCTGTAGTCTATTTTAGTACGGGAGACCTCCCCAAAAAAGGGTAAAAGGGCACTACCGGGGGACAGTGGCTTCCGCTTTCAGTTTCCTTCACTAATTAGCGATTTGGATTGGTGGTGTAGTGCCCAAGGGGTCGTTTCCTACAAGAACGAGGGGGTCAACTCCCAAAATTACCAATCCAAACCACCAATTGGGGGTTAACTGACCTTTGGAGACCCTGAAAAAACAAGCTCCAACAGGGTGCCTTTTGAGAAAACACCCCACATGCGTTAGCAACTTCCAGTGGCACATACGAGCAATCGCTTCACAGGAATTTAAGTGGATGAGCCCAAGGTTGGACAATCCGGCATATGCATGAGAGTCTGGGAGTTGACCCTTGCGTGCACTTGTAAACATGGTTGCTATAATCAGCCACGGCTTCCTCTCAGCAGGGATGTAGGACAAACAAACATCATAACCATTTGGCAAACAAAAAAGCAAACACAACAGCTGGAAAGAAGTGTAATTGAGACAATTTGTGTGTGCCACAAAAGTTGACTTTTGTGTGTGTCCCTTGCTTTCGTAAAAAACAAAAACAACGTTTGCTTTGACTTCAGGCGAGCCGAGGATCTAGGACACTTCAGCGAATTTCGGCGGCCTGTGGGGTTCTTCTGCGCGGGTGGAAGGCCCTCTGAAATCGCGGGGGTCGAGTCCAAGCTCCTTGCGAAGAGGCTTAAGCGGCTTGAGCCCCATGTGAGTCACAATCAAAACCCGGTATTAAAATGTTCTACCCAGATGTAAAGAATTAAGAAGGCGGCCTTCTAATATTTCTGGCCGGGACTGCCCCTTACTAAGCTTCATCTACCCGGGTTTTGATTGTGGCTCATGTGTGCGTGCGCGCGTGTCTCAAACTAGGGTACCCCACAATGATGGGTCTCACAATAGGGTACCCCAAAATGAGATCTTCCGTTTGGTTCCCTTTGCACCAAATTTCAACAGGGTGCCCTAAATCAAAGACAGACCCCGCCAAAGCGTAACTAGAAGCCTGCCGAGTTACCGGAAGGAGCTCTTCTGTAGGAATGCCAGAAGCCTCTTGATGTTCCCAATGGAGTCAAAGGCAAAGCATTCTTGCAATGCGTGTGTCCAAATACAGGATTTGGGCTCCCAATAATTTGGTGGCTTCCTTTTGGTTCCCTTTTTTATAAGTCATCCAAAAGAGTCTACATTTAAATGATGCCCCTTCCCCCGAAGACTGGTCAACCAACAATCATATAGATGTTGAGTTTGAATGTCCAGGAACACATTGATGGCTCTACTTTCCAAGTTCATTCCACCATCATAAACGAGGCCTCATACCGCAGAAGGTCAGGTTGGCTTCATGAACTGCTTCTTGCACGCATTTGGCTTGCATCGAGATTCCAGCACATCGTCCCAAGAGCTGGTGCATGCAAGCAAATACGATACATGCGGCATATGTCATAGAATATTCACACCCTGGTGCCGCCCGAGGTGCCGCCTTTGTGTAGGATACCAAAAAGGGCCCCTAATCTTGACAACGCGGCTGGCTAAAAGGGACCGGGACCCCCCCCCCATTTTTGTCTGTCCCTATTGTGACACATACCCATATCGTTGCATCAAACGAATCGGGGGATCAATCCTTGAGGGCGCCAGGAAGGACACGTCTTCCGCATCGTCCGCCAAGAGCGATTCGGTGAGGTTGCTATTGAAGCCTCGGCAGTTACCCAGGCAATGGGCTCACAGGAATACACTTCCCACATGGATGAACAGCCCATCACGCTGTTCTGCTTCTTGGGTGAGACACCTTTGAGTTCAATGCGTTTATTGCTTACCTCCGAGGAATCATCTGCATAGACTGCCCTACTCGATGGTGCGATGAGGGATGCTGTTCATCCCTGTAAGAACAACTGCAAACAATTCGCCTTGCTGCAATTGGTTTTATCCTCACTGGCTTCAAAACATGATCCCGAAGAGAGAAGATGACGTAAGCTCTGAAACATGGGTGACCTTTGGACAAGTTCATGGCCTTGGTAAATGGAATGAAACCAATCTAAACCAGTGCCGCCTATTCCTAACCAAACTAAGTGAGTAAGTGAGTAAGTGAGTAAGTGATGAAAAGCAGTAAGTGAGTAACAACAATGGTTATAATCCACTTGTTTTTTGTTGCAAGTGTGCACTCAGTGGGTTATACGCAGGCTTACTAAGCACTACGTACCCGATCGCCCCTTTAAGTATGCTCGAGGCTTCCACGCAGATCTGCTGGGGTGCCGAAAGCAGCTAAGCCGTCCTGGCACGAAACACACACCCACACAATACGGGCCGTGAGTGGAGTGACGACCCAGTCCGCGTAAACATGTGTCACTGAACGGGCAAGCAAAGTGTTGTCCCTGGGTTGCTGCTTGATAAACAAAGACCACCAAACAAATGTCAGCACTAAAAATGTTGCTTCATTGCTGGAGTGCTATAGTTGTGAACTGCCACCTGGTGTGATATGGTGTGATATGGTGCGATATGGTGCTATATGCTGCTGTACGATGCTATCGTAAGTGTTTTGGTGATACGTGCGTTATAGTGCTATGGTACTATGGTACTATGGTGCTATTGTTCGAAAGTGCCGCAGAGCTTGTTTGGTAGTCACTCTGAGTCTTCAGAGTTCCCACACATTCCAGTTGAGGTTCCTGGCTTTTTGTATCAGACAAGATCAAGTACAGGCCCGGCCGCCGCACAATGCGGCTCTGTTCTGTCTTTTGTGGGAATGTCGCCCAAAGGACATTGCGGTGGGTTGTGTATCCCTATGTTGCATGCCGACAGGAGCAACTTGCAAGGTTGACATAACATCTTGACATCACTGCTACAGTCCCGGACAGTCTACAGTCCCCGGACAGTCTACAGTCCCGGACAGTCTACAGTCCCTCTTCTGATCAACTCATAGGCAAATGATGGCTATGAATTCGTAGACGAAACCGTCAGCGGTGTGGACTTGCAGATAGTCCCGCTTGAAGTCGCATGTCATGACTCATCACAGCTTGCAAACAACATGTGCTATCTGGGTTGTGCAAATACAGACACGTATATCAAGTGCAAACAAACTTCGTAGGCCAACGATTATATGGGTATGTGTCATAATGTCCTTTGCTTTCCCTGTAAATGTAAACAGGGTCGCAAACAACACGCCCAAATTGAGCTTCTAGACACGCGCGGGTCTACTGCCGTTGCTTTTCTGTATGAATTTTACGGGTTCGATGGCAAGTCATTAGATGCCGGAGATCCGATAGGTAGCGGATCTCCCATCTGGTGCAATGTTGGCTAGCTTCGCTGGGGAAAGACTGTGCTCCAATGCACATCGGAGCAAAGTGCGCATGAAACTAGTCTAAGTGTATAGGCTAGGCTAGCCTCTGTCTCATTTAATACTGCGGAGGGAGGCCTAAATGAGCAGGCTGAAGTTGATCTACTGACTTGTTGCCAACTCCGCGCTGAAGAATTCCTGTCCCCAGCTCAGCCTGCCAGTGTGAATTTCAGCTGAGGGCGCTTCAGGAAGGGCGGCAGAAAAAAGGCTCAGATTGAAGGCCCCAGCCGGGGGGGGGTGCACTCCCATCTGCCGAGGTTCCCAAATTTGCGTGCAGAAAGGGTTCATTGGGCCTGGAGAACGCTGAGGACGTGGAGACCCCAAGCACAACAAAAACAATCTGCTAAACTTCAGTTCCAGTTTCCAACTGAACGTCGTGTTAGGCTGTCACTATGCTGGGGTTGTTAAGGGCTGGCAGCACAGAAAGCCGTTGGACAGTCTGCCCTCTGTCGAACTTCCTGCAGGGCGCTGTACAAACATCCTCAGCCTCGCGGAGGGTTCAGATTTCCTGATCCCTCTTCGCGAACTGCCCTTTGCCAGCTTTGGCAAGGCTCATGCCTCAAAGTACACCCGGCATACCTGGACTGGCGCGAACATGGCCATGCTGGAAAATATCCAGCAAGGTTTCACGCGAAGTCAAAGACATGTGTAACAAACCTATACACTTGGCGTGTCGATTTTCTCCTGTTGGCTTGACTTGCCGTCCTCGTGCTTCTACACAAACTGTATCAATGTTGCATGACAAATTGAAGAACCTGCATTATCTCCAGCATGTTGGGCCACAAATCTGCCCCGTTGCTGTACTCATGCATATTTTCGGTATGATGTTGGCTTGGGTGTCGTTAGAGTAAACAATCATATATGCAATCGTGGATGTTTCTCTGGCAAATACGTGCTTGTTCCCGCAATGAAAGATGCATCGCATTCGCTCGTGGCCTGTAGTTGCCCAGTATTAACAACACCGGCAATAACATGCTCGGTATCCTTCTCGTATGTCTTATGTATTGAATGTGTCTTGTACTGGTAATTGGTCCTCTTCTTTGCTCATTTGCCTTTATTGTCTTCTCTTCTGACTAAAGCAAATCAACAACGTGGATTCGGTGTATTGCGGCCTAGGCGGTGGTGCTCACATCCGTTCCCAAACTTTGGCAACCTCCCAGTTGGCACTCTCTCGCAATTGAGGAGCCTTTCAAAGAGCCGCTTCTTTGCAGCTTCATCATAACAGTCAAAAGGCCAACGATTCTAAAAGGTAGCCTTTCCATGAGTCTGCTTCACACCTCTTGTGAGACTTCGCTTGGCCGGCAGATTTGGCTTGTTTGAGCCGAAACCCACCCCTCCCATAGACGTGCCTGCCATCTGCGGAGGGATCAGCACCCGAGGAGTGAGCTGAGGCGGTTGCAGCCCATTCGGAGGCGTCAGCCCTAAGCCACCGCCCATGCCGACGCCGCCGCCGATGCCAACGCCGCCGACGCCGCCGCCGCCGCCGCCGCCGCCGCCAACGCCGCCGACACCGACGCCGACGCTGCCGACACCGACACCGGGCCTGGCAAAAGGCAATTAAGAGAAGTTCCCCCGAGTTGTCTCAAAATAAGGGAGCCACCAAAATGGGTCCCATCTACGTGTTTGTATCATTATGTTTTGTTGTTATTGTATGTTTACTCTAATATTTGGCATGAGTCCTTGCATTGTTGTCTGGAGAAAGCTATCCCATGTGGAAGCAATAAGACGGTGGGTAGAAGACGTATAATGAATACAAGGACCAAATGATGTTTCCATCTTAGCATTTTCATGCTTATTACTTACCATTTTGTTGTATGTATGCGATTCGATTTGCTGTGAGCTTTTTCCTTGTCATTCAAAAATGTGATTTCTAGTATTACTATTATTAGTCAAGCTTATTTATTTGATATCTATTTACTATTCGTAAGTACTGTTTGTTTTAGTGTCTTATTATATAGTTTCTTGCATGATATCTTATATGCTTTCGTCTAGGGATAGAACGGCAAAGGGCAACGCAAGCATATGTTAATGTGTGTTAACCTATGTGTATATTATATATATATATTATATATTATATATATATATGTCTTCATACGATTTTGTCTTGATCATCGTACCCTTCAAAAAGCAAGGCCTCAAACCAGGTTCCCTGAATGAAATACACCCCGTGAACAACATGAGGAGTACAATTGTCAGAGTTCCAGCATGTGTCATGATGTGGTAGCTGCTCCAAGTTGCCCGGGAAAACGCAATGCTTGATCACTACTAACCAATTGCGAGCACTTACAAAGCAACATTTTAACAAATTGCAAGGCGGCCGACCGCAGCACGCTCTCGGAGTTGACTTCCAGAACGTTGTGGTAAACTCTTCAGTTAACGTTGAATGACGCTGTTGGGCAAAATCCTTTGCCAGCGCACCAAGTGTTTGGCGGGGGCTTTGCCCTTCTCAACTCCAGCTCGCCTTGGCCCTCCTTTTGCCGTCAGACCCCGCTTCAGATCACAGGGATCGCGGCTGCCTTCCCCAGGCTCCCGCCCCCAGCCCAGCCCCCTGAGCCCAGGCCCTTGCCCCTCTTGGCATCTATGGCTGTCAGCTCACGCAAACCCGGCGACTCACTCAGAAAACACCGGGGCACTTCAAGGCCAACGCACTTCAAAGCCGACCGAAAGAATCCAGCTGCTGGCCAAGGAAAGCAGCGCGAGAAGCTTACAATTGCCCAGGGCCTGTGCAAAGCTTTACAACGCAAATACCAACACAACTATTACCAAACTGCAGGGACGCTTTGCCATCAACAAGTTGGACATCCGCAGTCTAAACAGAGCTGCGCTTTTTCAACATCTGGCATGGCAATTCATCTGTGCGCACCCAGAAAAAGCAAACAACTCAAAGAAAAACACACATCCGATGCTGAAAGCCCACCGACCTAAAAACAATTGTCCAGGCGCAGGCTGAAGGACGGCGCCCCGATTTCTTGGGCCGGGGGGGGGGGGGCAGGGGGGGGGCCCCGGGGGGGGGGGGGGGCGGTTGGGGCGGTTGGTTGGTCAACTCTGAGCCGGGTCGCCAGGTGGCCAGGGGCTCCCAGGCGCCGTCCCAAAATCGCCGCGGCCTGAAGCGAGCGCTGCTTCGCGAGCGCTCGAGCCCATTTGGGAAAAAGCCCAGGCACTCAGTTCTTGGGTGATTCCCCATGGGGTGAATCCTTTTCCGTTCTTTTTAACCAGCGTTCTTTTGAAAAACCAGCTTTCTTTTGTTTCTCCAGGGTTTTGGGTGGTTGTTTAGAAAGATGCCTGGAAGGAATGGGGAAGGTACCCCTGGAAGTTCGCTGACTTTCAAATGCCCCAGTGCTTTCACCAAGGTCAAACCAGCCATTGCTTGTTTGCCGACATGAAGTTGAGCTGCAGCACGCCCTTCAGAAGTTGTTTTCTCTTCCTTGCAAAGAAATCGTCTTGATCAAGAGGATGGCCTGCCATGCTCGAGCCAACCTGCCCTAGCTGGACACGGCAAACAGGCATCCAGACTGTGGTGATTCCATGAGGGCTGTGATTTACGAACCACCGTTACATGGTATCTGCAAAAAAGCCAAGATTAGTCGCTTTGCAATGCCACAGTTGCCAAAAACAGCACCTAAAATGGCTGCTTCATTCAAGCGTCCACGCGGCATCAAATTCAGAAGCGAGGAAGTCATTGGATAGGTGTTGCAGCCACAGCATATTGCCTTGTGATATTCCAACGATGAGTTGTCATTTGTTTGACAGAAATCCCTTTCCCATTCTTCCCACATGTCAAATAAAACCAGACATCGAACCTTGCTGTTGATCCTTGCTCTGTTGCGGACTTTGCGCACCCGTCCCGTACATGTGAATGGTGTCTTTTATTTCTCTCAAATGTGAACGGACGTATGGGCCCCTTCCGCGAAGCCTTCCGCGGTGTGAAGGGTACCTTCAGT